TGGGTGTAACGTCCGATTCGGTAGACTCCGGAACGGTCTGCTGTAATGAGGCACTCTCCGTCATTCCTTCAGTGCCAGTGATACCAGAGTCGCTTCTTGACATTGCCAAAGGTAAGGGTGGAGGCCTTCCTCTTGCTCGAGGAGGTATCGCTGGTGGTTTTGTCTGAAGATGCAGTCACGCAGATAAGTACAAGTTTGTGCACCGCACCCGGAAGTAGCCACTCACAAAGTCCGCATATCTCGGCGATTCCATTGATTCTACTGGTTTACCATCCTGTATCAAACTCTCGGCTGCGTTCATGGCGAAACAGTTGTGGTCGTGCTACCCGCAGTGCGCTGCCGGAGGCATTCGAGAAGGTTGGGTGATTTACGCCAACGGGGATCGACGTCGTCCCGTGGGTGTAGCGGCTCTTGTGTGGTAAGTCCGTGAGTCCGCCGTGTGAAGAGAGAGGGATCCGCTGCTTTGTATTGTCTTGTGCTCCCGAGTTGAGCGGTCCAGGATACCATTCCGAGCGATGGCTGACATGATGCTCGAGGGCCCCGGATGCAAACCGTACCTGGGCGAGATCTTTCATCCGATCCTCATCAACCTCCACCTGATCATGCAAGCTATTATCATCGATATCGTCAATCATCGGCGGCGGATTAGAAGGGCGTGGCGTGGCAAAACAGGCCGTGGTGATACCTGCCGGGAAAGAGTCCTCTTTTGGTTTCACTGCTTCTGTCCTCAATGCGGGAGGAAACGCCAGGGCCCATTAAACGGGTGCATATGGGTAATGAAGTTTATTATAATACCGTCCCCTCGATACAAAAGAGCTCCCCAGACAAACAGCATTGTCTCACTGATCTAGTGTTCGTTGTCGACAGCTTTGCCTTTGCCCTTCGCGAGAGCATTCCCGTTCAGCCCTGATCTTTCAGTGGCATTCTCCTCGTCACTGTCCCAATGGAACTCCGCTTCAGCGTGCGCAACCTCATTCTCACTCTCCTTCAGCATGGCTAGGCGCTTCGCCGTTTCCCTCGAATCCAGTGAACCTTCGTACGCAGGATGGCTAGGCACAGCAGGTGCGGTGGATGCGTATTGATCCTTGGTGGAGAGACGATCCGGATCTGACGTGGAGGATGATAGCGGTAGAGTATGGTATGTGTTCGACTTGAGATGCGACGCATACGAGTATAGCACCAGGATAAAGTAGAACTACGAATTTTCATAGAAAAGTCAGACTTTTTCACAGCATATATGAAAACGTTTAACTGACTTTAATGGCCCACGCCAGGAATAATACCACTTTTGCAAAGGGCTCTTCCTTCTCCCACAAGCCCCGTGCGATTTCTTCTATATTATCGGGCATCTTATCGCTCACTTCCCCTCGCGAGACGGCCAGTCGAATTAGATCCTCCTGAGCTTGAGAGTTTACCACTCGTCTACCGTCGTGCGGGACCTCGTACCAATAATGGCGAGCGAATCCAAGTGTGAATATCGTTTGGACGATATGGTCGATCACGTACAGGTGGGTGAGTTTGAGCACCTTGGCAGAGGATTCCTGGGAAAATAACAGCGGGACGATGGGTGATCGAACTTTGCAAAGTTACTGGGACAAACTTACAGCTGATATCGCTCGAAGGCCCCATACCGCTACGGCCAAGGTCGCCGTAGAGTAAACATAGAAACTCAATTGACCTGGCGTTCCGCCAGTAAATGCTGACAAAAGACCGTAGACTCCTGCAACCTTGTTGAGTACCTGAGGAGCAACGTTCTTGTTCAACTGATGCACCATGCTAGACAGATATGAGACTACTTACGCCGAAAAGAATGATTATCTGGGCACCTGGATCATTGTGGATTCAGCACAGCAGTTCCGAGCTTCTGAATGGACAACATACCTGACTTGATGTCGAGCACGCCCAAAAAGGAGTTGAACATGGCACTTGGCCCCGAAAGCTTCATGTCTGGTTGGCGGGAGCTTTCGATTCTGCTTCTTTACGGTTGTGCTTAAGCTGGCGAAGACAGGGTTATAGAGGAATATAGTCTACTGTAGTATAGTTGAATGGTCCAGGAGGAGAAATGACGACGCCAAACAGAAGAAGTCGAACACAGAAAACATACATGGTCGCCGATCACTTTAACCTAATGCAGGCTGACTAAGCTAAAGCGAGCAAGAATTATTGTCCGACGGCAAGCTAGCTTGAACTGCTTTCAACGGACTGTGGATAAACCACTAGGCCCCGACGGTGAGTGGAAGGGGAACCTTTCTCCAGTTCAATGTGAGAAATCGGCTTGGACGTAAGCGGCTAGTGGAACACAGCTTTATGCGACGAACAACTGCCTGCCACAAATATCGCTCGCGACTACGGTGTATGAAACTGGCTCCTTAGCTAAGCTATACTAAGAGGCTGCTGTTATCTTCGACACACTGCCCGCTAGAAGGCATCGGGGTCAAGACACCATGGTAGGGATACAGTCTAATCTATATACAACTATCAACCGCGTAATCATTAAGAGGGTCGTCCGGGGTGATACACAAGCTGCGAACAAGGAGGTTGGATACGGCGCACAATCAACGAGTTCCTGTCGGTCCCATCACATCAGATAAAGTCAACGGTCGAAAAGGATACTTTCTGCTGCCTTCCACATATTTTAGCCATCTTGCTTCTTCGTCGGCTGCCATGAAACGAGACGCGACTCGTGTAAAGGAAGAGTTGCCAGACTGGAGCGTTGTGGGATTCAAGTTTGCAAGGTGCTTTTTCGCCACACTCTCCCAGAGATGGTATCTAAGACCCGCAACATATCTGCATCAGCTTTGCAAAAGGTTATGGGAAAATGAAGAGACTCACGCTAGCTGGCCACTGGCTTCAAAGTCATATTCATTCTTCACGTAAACAGCATCGATGTGTTCGGCAGTCCACATCGGCCAGAAGAATACCCGCTCTGAGAGAACTGTCACGGTCGTAGGATACAGCTGGGCTAATGTCCACGGAATCCGCTGAACAAGAAGCAAAATATGTCAATCAGGCTTGAGCGTTCAAGAGGTGTGCCAGCAGGATGAGAACTTACAACAGAATGATCCGCCCACTTGTTATGATCAAAGGCTTCATAACTGTCCAACCAGCGCTTGATAAACGTACTTCCAGGTCTTGCCACGATAATCGCATTGCATAGCCCCTTGGGTGTCATCTCGTCATCCGATGCTCTTCCGTGAGAGATGCTGAGATGCTTGGCCTCCATCGCAAGAACCGTATCCTGCATCATCAACGCCGCATCTCGGAATGATCGAAGGATAATCGTATCGATGTCTAGATATATTCCCCCATAATGCTGTAAACTAATCGAAATAGCATTGAACGGTCCCAAGGATACATCCGTATAAGCATTGATCCCCTGACAGTGCAGACAGCCTGTAGTGCGATCTACTTACATTTCCAGTCGCAAAATATCGGCTTTGTGAGCATACTAAACACATGGAGTGTCCATCAGCTCAGGGGTCGTTGATGCGTAAGAAATTGGTTTTTAACTCACATGCTTCACCGGTCTTTTTTCCTCGCCAATGAACTCCACTTCCCTTGCTGGAACCACCTGTACTAATCCTTTACGCGCTCCACCGTCTTCTTCGTCGATCCAGCCTTCCCAGTTCAACACCTGATCCCACCAATAACCCGTTGGCTCATATAGGCAGTGAAACATGATCTTCTCCGGCTTCAGAACCGTCATTGCGGACCGCATGCCGATGTAGGCGAAGTATGGGAATTCCGGTCCTTGTTGCGACATCCCAGAAGGCGGTTTAAGACCATAGACATAATGCACAATGTTGGGGATTTCGGGTTCCGGATCTGGAAGACTAGCTGTTGGCGGTTTCAAGCCCAGCGGCGGGGGTGGCAAACGAGCGGGAAGAAGGGAGACTAGACCTTCGCTTGATCGCCTGGTATAGACGGATAGGAAGAACGGATAATGCATTCCCAAGAGGATACCGGAAGAGAAAAGGCAAAGCGCAATCAGGGATGAGCGGATCACTGACGGCAAATAACGCTGAGCGAGATCACGATTAGCTAAGTCTTATCGCAACGAAGATTAACAGAGGCCACACACCTGAAAACTGGATATCGATTGTCGACGTGAACCCACAGATGGGTAGATATACCCTTGTTCTTTCTCATCTTCATACATATCCGGCGTACTCCTGTCGATACACAGCAGAAAAAAAATCAGCGTTGCCTTATGGCGTACAGTTGCGATTGAACTAACAAAGTTCTCTGCAGCACTGTGTGACCAATCCGTATGCTGATTGTAATGTTGCTCCTACGGAGATGTTGTGAAAACCGCCCAAGTCGGGCCTTCTTAAAGGTAAGGCAGTCTTGCGAAGTGAACAGGGCAATTGGTAACTCCGACGAGCGACGTTAAGACAGACGCCAGCGCCTCTAGTGTTTCACCCAAGGAGACAGATAGCAATATGCGCTGGTGATCATTCTCCCAAGAACCAAGACGTTCGGGACCAAGCTACAATCTCAAGAGCATGAAGGTCTTCCGGTCCCTGCGGATCCTGAATGCTGTGTGACATAGCCGCAGGAAAAAGTGAGCGACCCAGCTTCCGACCCCATGTACAGAATTGGGTACATCGGTTAGAAGCCGAAATGACAAGCCGCAAGGTGAACTACGTAAGACGATTCCGATCAGCTTGGCTCGTGGCAGAAAGAAAGCTTCGCAAGCCAAGGAAGGACTTCAGGGGGACAGGGCAGACAGGGGTCTTGACGAGTACTTACGTTTAGTTCCAAAGCAACTAACCTCGAACGCTTTGAAGAGACCACTGGTTTGCAAACTTTGCAAAGCAAACTGCGAGAACTGCGCGGTCTGTGTAATTCCGAAACTGTCTGTCTTCCAGACTTCCTTCGAGCTGACCCGCCGGGTTACAGCCTCGGGGTGACAGGCGATTTCTTCCGAATGAGACTTTCCGGTGGGAAAGAAAAGAGTATTGTGTCATATTCAATTCGAGTCACCTGAAAATAACAACTCCCGCGTAGCTCAGTTGGAAGAGCGTCAGACTTTTACGAATCTCTGCTTGAGATCTGAAATCTGAATGCCGCGAGATCGAGACTCGCCGTGGGAGCATTTCTTTTTGCTGTTTCCCGTTATCCGTTCCATTTGCTTTGCGAACCTTTATTCTTTGTATATTGGGGTCCATTGGTGGACGATCGCACAAAGTCCAAGAAAAAGAAGTGATGACTTGTATTCTATATAGATCATAGCTGGACTGTCAATAAATTAATATTACTCATTTGTCTCATGATTATCACCCAGTTGGGATGCCAGTTGCTGTTCTGCCTCCTGTTGTTGTTGTTGTCGATGGGGAGCAAAAATCTGGTGTTCGATTTGCTTCACTCTATAGTAATCAACAAACGATTTTAAAACCATAAAAAGGCCAAATGCTATCAATGCATAGGCAAAATAAGGAGTCTTCAGATGTGGTTCAGTATCAACGTTTTGTTGAAATATGTCCGACTTGTACCCATCCACCTTTCCTCCCTTGATAGACAGCGAATGGGTAATATCCACCAGATTAGGGTCTGTTGGTTGATAGCGTATAGGGACCGCATCAAGGCTTCCGAAATTAGCAGGTACCATGTTCCAACCATAGAACACAAATGTTATTCCAAGTCCGGTCCGAGACCCTTCCTTAGCCGCGTGTGAGGTATGCAAAAGGTAGCACAACACAAACCCTACGAATTGGAATGCAACCGTAACCAATGCGTTCCATACAAAGTTGGCAATATTGCCCACCGGCAAGCCTTCCACAAACACCTCGTCCTCATATATTGGTGAGATGATGGTCGACTCCCAATACTCCGGTACCGCATCTGCTGCTGCTTCCTCATACGAAGGTGGGTGCTGTTCTTGACCTATTCGGTTAGATTCTGTATCTGGTTTGGCCATCAAGTTGCGGAACACTCCGTCAGTTCCATGTCCAATAAATTGTCCCGGGGTATTTGGTTGCATTCTTCCAGTCGTAAGGCCATTATTAAGTCGTTCGTATGTCTGCCGTATGGGAACAAAATGGTGAAACACGTTAATTATCCTTTCACGAGCACTTAGTTTCCTAGGTGTTTGCAGCTCAAGATCGAGATTGTTTAGGGAGTTTCGAAGTTCTGCTGATGATCCAGCAACGGGTTCTGGTCCTTGAGTAACGGTATTGGCTGTTTGTTGTGGAGAAAGTGAAGTATTCGTGTCTACAAAGTTGTCATCGTCACTATCGGAGAGGCTGTGCCGATTATCGGTTTCATCTAAAAGTGGTTCCTGCGAAGTGTTGAAATGCAGAGAATGATTTCCGTGACCGTCTCCATCGCTGGAACTCGTTCCGCCGCTCAACGGCTGATACGGACTCATTTGTTGGTGTAGACAAAGGTGAGAATTGAGATTACGAATGCGCCACAGATACTGGCAGTATATGCAGGCAAATAGCAGATGTAGACTATATATTTGTAGCATTAACTAGTAACACTAGTAGATCTGATTCACTTTAGCTTATCACGATTGCGTACCTGCTTGCGGATGTTGCGGAACATCTTCAACTGTTTAAAGTGTCTTTGGATTAAAAATTCCGTCAACCACAATGGAACATACCTGCTCAAGCAGTGCAACAAGTAGGCGCCATGACCGTGGTAAAGATTGAACCCAGGATCACGTCTCGCCGTGATCTTCCGGACCACTTGATCTGCGTACTTGGCTGGAGATATGGACGTTCTGGTGTTCCGGGACATATTGGTCGCAGCATCGCAACATTCGTACACACCTTCGACATCATACCTCAGTTTGGCAAATGACGATTTCGTATTGGAATCACAGATAGCAGTATTCACACCACCGGTAATCACAGAGTGCACACGAACGCCGAATGGCTCCATTTCAGAGTGGAGACACAAAGCATACTGATCAATTGCAGCTTTTGTAGCACAGTAAACTGAGCCAAAAGGAAGCATTACCCGGGCAGCAACCGAGGCAGTAAACACAATAGTACCCTTGGTTGCGATAACAAAATCACTCATGGTTTTGGTCATATTGATATGGCCAATCACATTTACTTGAAAAATCCTGTCAACTTCGTTTTCTGCCATTTCAATGGCAGGTCCACCATAAGAAATTCCAGCATTGTTGTACAAAATATCGAGTCTGCCACCGGTCTGCTCTTTGACAATCTCGGCAGCTCGATCAAGATCCGCCTTGCTGGTGATATCACAGGTAAATGTATACACACCATGGTCTCTTGTCAACTCGTTTAAAGCCCATTCTACCAGTTTGGGTGCACACCCCAAGACCTTGTAACCCTTTTTAGAGAGTGCAACACAAACCTCGTATCCAATTCCCAGCGAAGCTCCAGTGATTAATGCGTACTTCATGGCTCAACCCAAAACTTGAGATTTGGTCCCAACTTATGGGAACTCTTTCTCATGTGAATTTTGCAACCCCACTCGTTCCAGTTGAAGAACATCCAATGCACCCACTGCCCAACCCCACAAAAAAAACCGCCAGGGCCCATCGCTCATGGTACTTTGATAGTAACGATGAAACGGCCCCCATTATGGCTATATTTCACTCGCGGTTCAGACGACGGAACTGGGTTTCGTATTTGTGTTTTCATCCCGTAGACTTCATTATAGGTGTAGATATCCGGTACTCCGAGATCGACTGCTCCGGGCAAGATACTCAGAGGTGCTGGGGTGCGGAAAGTTTTTGGCATATCCGAAAGATCTGGGAGAGATGGTCCACCTCTGGCGGTCGTCAAGGCTCCTCTCCTCGAAGATCCACGTCCTGTTCCGCTTTCTTCGGTTAAATTGTGACGTCTTTTCCGTCTAGCTTCACGTTCGATCTCCTTATCGAGCCTCTCTATCTCTAATTGCGTAAGCTTGAGCAATGCCGGCGAGTAATCAGCCACAGCGTTGGGATTACGCAAGATCAGATAGAAGTCCTCGCCGTTTGAGTCTATCTTTAGCGAAGGTAACTGATGCCCTCTAATCTCGTCTTCGTTAATTGGAGAACCATCAAAACTGTAGCCAACAAAGAGAAGTGCACGATGAAACAACTGAGCTTGCTCTCTGATACTATGGCTGATGCAGGTGCCAAATTCGCCTGGAAGCTCCATTTCCTCGCACATCGTGCGTGCAAAGTCTTCAGGATCATTGTCGTTATAGTTGAGAATATCCCATTCAAATTGGTCTATCAATTGGGTGTTGTTGATGGTGATATCTATCCTGATAGGCACACGAAGCTCACCGACCATTTCGTCGGGTACACGTTGAAAATCGGTGATTTGTTCCTTTGCAGACGCAAGTATAGCGGAGTAATGGGTCTGAGGAATAAATCGATAATCCTCCAAAAGTTGTTGTATAAATGATTCCAACCGTACAATTGGTTCGTCCATATCCCATAAGAAAGTGTCTCTCAATTTGAATTTGTCTCTCTCGCTCTCAAATTCAAGCCTAATAGGCACCAACGACTGTCGTGGATTCTGTGCCAATTTGCGAGCTACAAGCTCATTTACTTGACGATCAGTATACGCCACCTCGAGGCTCGACGAGAGGGAGG